GATAATGGGTTAAAAAAGAATTCTCAAGAAATAACTAAAAACAACAAAAAGACCTTATGGCAGTTGGTCTACGCTCAAGCCAGGGTGTTCTTCCATGCCACACAGTCTCATTTTATTCATTTTTAAATGGATCTTACAACTAAGAGTACTACTAAAAACAAAAGGAAATGCTTAACAACGATATAAAATGGGATAACAAGGGTGGGGGGGCAGTGCGGAACTTTGGGTTTTTTGATTCATTTGCTTTCGATATTCTTGAGCGGCACCATCTGCTCAGGATCGTCCGGATAAATACTATTCTGACGCTTCTTGCGACCAGCACACTGGCTAAACCACGTGTCGCCTTTGCCAAAGTTCTCGCCATCCTCGATGGACTCGGGCATCGGTTGGTTCATCGTCTCTGGAAGGAACATTACCCAGAAGCCAGAGGCCAGCGCCACCACACCAAACAGTACAGCGGGAATCTTTGGATCAAACGAGTCCAGGAGGGTAATGAGAGGCGTGAGAGCGCCCGACAGACGGGCACACATGGAGCCCAAGCCCATGGCAGAGTTACGTACGACAGTGGGAAAGAGTTCCGCCGAGTAGTTGTAGATAACGGCAAAGGAGCCGGCGATGAGTAGCTTGCCAGCCATCACCACAGCCGTGGAGGTGGTGCTGCCCTGAGCAATAAATGCAGCAATGATGCAACAGAGTCCTCCACTCAGCATCAGCGTGGAGGTAATGGAGCGACGTCCCAGGCGGTCCAACACGAACACGATTGTTATGTAGCTGGGGAACTCGACGAGACCCATGATGAACAGAATCAGGTAGGGATTGCCGTACAGCTTGCCGGCACTCAGCGACAGTCCATAGTACACGATGGAGTTGGCGAACCAGCAGAGGCACACGTTGAGCGTCTTCATGCGCAGGTTGGGTGTCCGGAAGAGATCGCTCAGTCCGGCACTGGCCTTCTCCTCCACCGCCGCCTGCTGCTTGGCCTTCTGCACAAAGTAGTCCTTGTCCACGGCTATCCCGGAGCCATTGATGCGCAATCCCTTGGCCACAATGTCCACGGCCTCGGCAGCACGTCCCTGCATCCAGAGCCAGCGCGGAGACTCATCGAGGAGCCACCAGTGGCCAAGGAAGAGGCAGCCATGGAGGCCATAGATCACCTGCAGCAACTGACGATCGTGGATGAGTGCACCCCATCCAGCGACCAGCATGATGCCGCCAGCAAAGACAGCCTGAAAGAGATCACAGAAGATTACAAGGGATCTTGAAGTGGAGATCTTTGAATCCCTGCACTCACCTGGAAGGTGATGCCACAGACAGTACGTTTTGTGGGTCCGACCAGCTCCATTGTCAACACAAATCCGCAGATGTAGGCTCCAGCAGAACCCACAATGCCCAGCAAATAGCGAGCCACCATGAAGGAAAAGTACTCGGGAATGAAGGCAACGCCCACGCCGATGATCAGCTGGAAGAGCGCCGACCAGCAGAAGACCGTCTTGCGACCAATCTTATCCGCCAATCCGCCGAGGGTGACGGCGCCCGTGAATACGCCCAGCATGAACACCGTCTGCACAATGGCACCCATCCATCGGCGATCGCACACAAAGTTCCAGTCAATGGTGCGCGATGTCTTGTAGTACGTCGTATCGTATACGTAGTCTACACAGGCAATGGTGGTCTCGTTGCCGCCCACAGAACTGGGATCGTACATCAGGCAGGACTCCAGCTCACCATTGGCCTTCGTGGGAATGGCATGCTCCAAGGCGCTCACGTTCCATGGCCCCAGAGCCAAGGAGCTGTTGTCGAGGCCGTCGATAAAGCAGCGATGCTCCGGCACGGCGGATACCGTAACCAGGGAGAGCATATGCATGCCTGCGGTCAAAGCGGAGAGAACTTGCAGGAAGAACTGCAGGAATTGGTATTTACCAAATTCCCCTAAAGGAAAAACGAGATTTTGGATTAAAATCAAAAGTTTAATTTGAATAAATTAAAGCTTTTACACGTATAAATGTTGAAGATTGGTATATACGGGGTATTTAGTAGTTGCAAGCCACAAGCGAATAAAGAGAGGGAGCAACTACGCAGTCCCGTTTGTTATTCCTTGTGCTTCGTTTTTGCTGAGAACCAGCTACCGGAGGCAAAGTGCCTGCAGAGTGATGGAGAGAGCAACTGAAAGAGAGTGCGTATTGAGCATAAGACGAGATCAAGGGATAAGACAATTGCGACGCACTGCAGTAGAAGCAACAGCTTTGTCCATTTTAGACACACACTCAGTGCAGTATGTGCACATATGGCGCCTCTCTACTATGGTGTCACTGGCTCGGAATTGTCGTCACTCAAAAGACTTGTTTGCAATTAAATCAAGTGGAATTTATTCAATTCGATTTCAATTGAAAGGCATACAAATGTGCCCATCAAAGACGTATCGTATTTGCCAGCAGTTTGCTTTGGCTTCGGACTTCTACTCGTACTCTCTTTATTTTGCAGGGTTCTGCGTCTCTCTGGAGAATGCATTGAATCGATTATGACTTTTGCTGTCCACAGCGATCGATGTTGAACGAGGGCAGGGACTGTGTACATTTCTGCTGACTTCTACATAGAATGGAGAGTGGAGAATGGAGAGCATTGTAGCCTAGATATCTGACACATGAGCGCGCGCGGGGTCCAATGTTCAATCAGGCATTTCAATTGATTTGTCGGTTACATTTATTGATCGTTTAAGCGATCAACTTTCGCCATGCCATCGCAAGAGAGAGTCCTTCACTCATGAGTACCCCAACACCATTCCGCGCTGTCTGAGCATTTCACTGATTACGTCGAGTGTAAAATTATGTCATAGACACGGAGCAGAGCTTAATTAATCTCAATTTGAAAATTTTGCCACAATTTTTAATTAAATTCAATTACAAAACCCACCCCAATATACATACATAATCAGCGTATAATTGTCAACGATCGATAAGGGAACAAAAAACACGCGACCCTCTGCCATAAATTCTCATTGGAAAATCATAGCGGGAATTATCAGATAGAGAGAGAGAGTAGAATGCGACCACCAACAACCACATCATATATCAAATTTCAGCACTGTTGTGGTGGGATTTATTGCAGCCGCCCCAACTCATTGACACAGTTTGTTGCCAAGTGCGGGGAGGGTCCTTGAGAAGAGCACCCGACCACAATGATGTGTTCCTACGAGTGGTACTCAAATAAAACTCTAGGGTTATATATTATTCATTAAAGCGATGAATAAACATGGTAGCTGGATAGATCACAGGGAAAGCCTCCGCTGGCTTAGCTCTTATAATAGATTAGAGAGCACATTTTGTGGGAAAAATGATGCATGGAAACAAGATAAGGCCATGGCGATAACGCAGTGATAAGAAATTAGCAAATCAAACACTTGAAATATTCCAAAAACAGCACTTCAATGCCTAAAAGTTCCTATAATGATCGTTATAAAAACCCATGGGCGGAAATTCACATTTTCGTGCTAGTGTTGAGGTAGATCATGGCATTCTTTATAGGCTTCCTCTTCTATGGGTTTTACCTTGTCGACTTTTCAAACGATTTTCACTCGCTTTGAAGGTCTCTTACGGGGGGCGGCAAGTGCTTTCGAAGTCAGGTGTAAAAATGCTGCTAACATTGGCAACTGCTAACCGAATTGAGCTCCAAGCACGCCTCCAAATCCAAATACAAAGTAATTAGAGCTCCACCAGACCCCAAAGTGGAGGCCTTCAACAAAATAAATACACGTAAAAGAGCGGAGTGATGTGGTATGTGTGAGGTTTGCGAGGTGTGGGCCTCATATGGGGAGCTCAGAGCGCAGACAAAAACCAGTTTGAATTTTTGTTTGCATTTTCTCAAATACAAATGGATGTGGTCCATAAATAATGCTAAAAGTCGCTAAAGTTGCTAATGTGTTCATTACTCTCTCTTCTCTCTTCCCTTTCACTCTTTTTCTTTCGCCTGGAAATGATAAAACACCAGCTGAAATCAGTGGAGACATCAGATAAGTCTCCTCTATAAAGAAGAGCCATATACAGTCGCAAATTGATTATGAATTTATAGTGAATGTAAGCGAGAACTAACACTAAGTACATTTAGGGTAGAAAAAAGTAAAAGTCTAGAACACATTCTGCTGAGCTTTCAGTTTTGCTTTCGTCATAATCAATTTGAAAATTCTACATAGAATTATTGTTAACTATTTTGCATAAAGTAATGAAGCAGAAGGTGCCACTCGTTGCACAATTTATAAGTACAACCACAAAGCAGATATAATTCCCCGAGATATCTTTATGACACAGATCTTGTGACAAAAGTCCTCCTCCCCCTGTGCTGTGCAGTGTGTGTGTGGGCTCGGTTTTTAGCGTCAGTCTGCTAAAGCTAAAGATACAGAGATACATTTGGCCAGAAGATTCAACAAGTGTCACTGTATCCGTTCCCGTTCTGTATCCCCCCACGCGCAAACGCGTATCGTCTTGGTTTCGGCGTCTGAGACTTCTACCAAGCTGTCTGTCATGGATGTCTACAACCTTGGGGGATTTATTATTAATTGGAAAAAAGTGCAAAAACCAAAAACAAAAACTATACACAATAGTGGCAATTAAAACCGTATTAGAGGCGGCTTCCTTTGAGCACTTGATGGACAGTCCCAGGCACTAGTACCAGCCAGCCGTATAGATTAGACAGAGATTGCCGCGAAAATAATTAGGAAATTTGAATGCAGAGCAAACGCAAAGGTCAGATAAACCTGATATAAAAGTATTAATCCACCCGCTTTTGGATAAGCTCAGAGGCAACTGCTGCTGGACAAGTTTTCGCGGCGCATTCCAACGATTGATAAGGAAAAAAACCGATGCCTTATCATCACTGCCTCGCGCTGACCTGACTGGCCCGCTCCGCACACCACACACAACACACCACACTTTGTGGCGGAGGCGGCACTTACCCAGTTTCCCCATGAGATCCTCCAGCACATAGTCCACAGCCATAGTTGGAAGGTTTCTAAGATCCTTAACAGTTTCTGGTCAAATGGTGAATACAGATTTTCGATTTATGTCTCGTCGATTTTTAGCCAGCTGGCATCTTCCGGAGAACCACCTCGCGATAGTTCTGCTGGAACGTAGAACGTGCTCCGACGTGCAGCTCTCGAAATGTACAGCTCTTGCTTGCACTCTAGACTCTTTCGACCGCCGGCCGCATTTGAACTGGCAAAAAGCTAACTGCGAACTGCGCCGCTGAGCTGAGCAGAGCTGGGCGAGCAAAGCGAACCCAATGGAGCTCTGCCTCAAATAACACTCATACCAGCGCAGAAAACCCTCACGCAAGCACAGAGGCAGCCAGCGATAAGGTCGTCCCACATACTCACTCCACTCCAAAGTGGATCCCACTGATGTGTCCGAGTGTGTGTGTGGAGCTCTAGAGCTTTGCCCCTCTGCATGTGGATCGTGAGTTTCGCTTTGTGGCTCCAACACATGATCGCAGCCAGAGATCGCAAGATCTTTTGGTGAAACTGTTGGAGGAAAACGCTTTAGTTTGTGGATCTGGGAATGTAGCTATGGGATATGGGAGCTTTGGTACTCATAACAATACATTTTGACACCTTCAAGAGAAGAGGTTTCGGCTTGAGATCACCAACTGAAACATTCTCCACCGAGAAATGAGAACATCTTTGAGGCTTCACGGGCATAGGCCCAATACAGATAAGAGTTTAGTTTAAAATTTAAGAAAATAACTCCAAGGAAATGAATGGGAAATATTCCATTCCCAGCAAGCCTTGGGTTAAACCCAATGGTTTTACTAGAATATAAAATCCGCACACGTCCAAAACTTCCCAAATTCGTAGTAAAATTAATAAATTAATTATGGCTGAACCGAATATGTCTGTTCCCACGTCTTTCCTATATTTGGATTGGATGTCCGAAATATTAATGCAGGACACCAAGGAAATGGCAACGGAGTTCACTAGAAAAGCAGAGTATTTAAAAGAACAAGAGGCCAAAGTCCTGGAAAATGCCAAGCAGGTAAGTGCTAGAGCACCATAAGATTATATTATTGATGCCCTGAATTGCCATCAGCTCATTCAAATCGATCAATTTGTGGACGATATGAAGGCCTGTACACTGAAGCTCGAAATGGATCTGAATGAGAACGAACAGTCGCTGGCAGAGGCGGAGAAGGAAGCCACCAAATTGGAGCGATCTTGTTCGACGCTCTCCAACATTTGCCGCACAGAGCCCCTGACGCCTCACACCTACTTGGATCTCTTGAAGCTTATCGAGTCCACGAAGAAAATGAGCGAAAAGTGCAACAGCCTCACCGAGGATTTCGAAGAATTTGGCAAAGAGGCAGCCGAACGCCTGGCTCCTGCAAATATGGTAGGCTACAGGACACAGAATGTCTTGTAATAGTTTAGCAATACTTAAGGTTCTCTATCCATAGATTGGTAAACTCATAGACACTCACAACAATGTCTTGACCAGCTTTGAGAAGCAGATCGAAGACTTGGCAGGCAAGGTATCGCTTATTGCCAACGAATACGAGGATATCACTGAAATTCTGAGCATCAGCAGCCTGTCCACCACGTGCACCTGCGAAATGGCCAAGGAGGTGCTAGCCAAGGATTTCTGTAATGATTATATTCTGAGAAACAACCGATAACATGATAATGGATGATTCACTTATTGGATACTATTCACACAATGTAAATGCAAACGTTTAAAACTGAAAGTTCAACTTTTTGTGCTTAAAATTAGCGTGTCTTAGGCTTGTCTAGAGTCTAGTTGTTGGCATCGCGGAAGAAGAGCACGTCGTCGGCTATGATGCTGGTGCTGGTCTTCTGGTTGCCCTGCTGATCGGTAATCTCGCCATAGGTGATCTTGCCCTGAACCATGGTGCGCTGTCCCTTCTTCAGGTACTCCAGCACAGTGTCGCGCAAATTGGGTTTAAAGACGACCACGCGATGCCAGTCCGTGCGCTGGGCCCAGTCCCCGTTCTCATATCTGTCGAGGAGATTAAAGCCAAGCCGATTATAGATCCATTAATATTCAATTATAAAAAGGGAACACATGCCGAGACATTTACTCGACTGTACTCACTTGTAGTTTGTGTGTGTGGCGACGGAGAATGTGACCACTGGATGCTCCTGGGATCCGCGCAGCTGCGGATCTGCGCCCACACGACCCAAAATGGTCACCGTATTGACAGCTGCCGTGGTTTAAAAAACAATTAGTTGTATTTCATCACCTCTACTATCAGTTTACTACGCACTTTTTTCAATTTTGGCGGGTGCCGCCGATGTCGTGGTTGAGGCACCGCGTGCCGGCAAGTTATGCCGCACTAGACCGCCCAGCACCGGACGCAGCTGCAAGACACAAAAGTTTCACTCATTTATAGCTGTGTTAGCAGTGGGACAGTTGTCATTATCCTACCGCATGTCTAACTTGTTGCATCATTTAATTTTTTCGAAATTTAAGGCAAAAGCGTGGAAAAAGCAACAATTTGGAGTTAGTGTGACCGTGGATTTATCGGTCAGATATACCGCACTCCCCACAAAACTATACCAAAACATACCATCTTACTTTTAAAATATACCGTAAATATATACAATCATACAATCCCAATCAGTCGAATAGACTCACAAATTTTCAAAATTAAAAAAAATTTCTCAAAATCCAGCAACATAATGGATAATGGGAAAAATATATATTTTTCCATGAATCAAGGTTCTTTTCCTTATTTAAAAAGAAAACAATTAGGCTTCTTTTTGCTGGAATTTGAGAAACTGTTTTCTATTTGAAATCGTGTCTATTTGACTGATTGGGAGTGCATATAAATGTTACGAACCTGTATTGGTGTTGGGGCAAGGCCGGCTAGCCAGTCCTTTCAGGGCTGGGTTCTTCCCAGGCCCCCAGGTCGCACAACAAACCAACTGTTCGGACATCTCGAACCAACAAACGATTATTCAAACAGAAACCAACGGACTTTACTCTACACTTCACGGACAATCATCTCTCCGACGCAGAACAACAACAACTCTCCTTTTCAAGTGCAGCGGCCGATCTCCATTTCGCCGCTGTGGTCCCCTGGGGGTGTGGACCCTTGAGGGTGTGGGTGAGCTGGCTCGTGGATCCCGCAATATTCACCTCTCTTAAATTCTCCCCTCTCGCTCTCTCACCGGCACCGTTGATCGCCTTGCCCCTTCGCCTATCGACCTGCCAACCTCAACAAAAAATACTAACAAATCCAGTATTTTGCCTACCGCTGTCCTTCGAATGCAACACCTAGCGAATATTCAGGCGTGCCTGGACGGAAGAATTATTCGCAAACACTCGAAGGATATTGAAACCTAACGCTTACCCTAAGGTCTTGCAGCACCCAACGTAGGCTCACACCCACTCGGTTTGTACTTCTCTTCCCTTCTCCTTCTAAAGCTTTCCCACTACAATTTCAGGTCTTTGGCGTGAAAAATCCCCACCGGCATTATTTCCAACCGGACGTACGATTCGGCACTTCAGGAACTTCCGGGCGAACTTGGCGTTGTAGCTCTTCCCAAAGTCGCTGAGGGTGAAGTTGCGCCTGTATACTTCTTGCCCAGGTTTGGCGAAAAATATTCGGGCCCGTTTGTTGTAGCTCTGGCTGCTGCGCTCGTACGCTTGGTGAAGGTTGGCCGTGATACGTTCCCAGATGATGTGGCATTTATCCGCGGGGTCCAATGCGTGCACCTCATGCTCCGTCAGCGACTGCAGCTTCCTCGCCAACTTATAGCAGTTCCCATTAAGGAACATTTGCTGTCCAAAAACTGCAAAAAACGGCGTCACGCCTGTGGCTTCGTGCACTGAGTCACGGATCGACACTTCAATCTCCGGTAGGTACATATCCCAGTCTCGATGATCCCTTTCTAAATACGTCCTGATTGCAGCTAATATTGTCCGGTTCACCCTCTCGGCGGCATTGCTCTGTGGTGAGTAGACTGCTGTGCGCAGATGTCGGGCGCCGAAAGTGCTCATCATGTCCTGGAAGATCTTCGACAGGAACTGCTTTCCGTTGTCGGAGTGGATCACCTCGGGCACCCCAAACTTGTAGAACACTTCCTGTACTAGGAATTGAACTACGTTCGCCGCTGTCGCCTCTCTCATCGCTTTTAGAAAGGTGAATTTAGAGAAGTGGTCTACGACGACAAAAATCCAAGCTTGTCCCCTTTTCGACCGAGGATACTTCCCCAGGAAATCGATGTATAATTTCTGGAATGGCCTCTCCGTTACGACTTCCTGACCGATCCCTACCTGGCTTCGATAAATGGGTGCTTTGGACTCCTTACAAGCATCGCAATTCCGGACATACTCCCGCACTTGTGTCGTCATCGCTGGCCAGTAGAATTGCCTTCTTAGCCGATGCAAGGTCTTTTTAAGTCCACCGTGTCCAGCTGTGTGGTCTTCGTGGGCCTTGGAGATGAGAGTTTCCGTCAGTGACGCGGGAATCCATAATTTCCAAATGGACCCTTCCACTTGGTCGTCCATTTGCGTGAAAGCCATCCGCTTGAATATCACATCCCCTTCCACACGTAGGCCGGCAACATGTCTTGATTCTTGCCGATTTCTCCTTTCAGCTCCTGATATTCTGAAGACTCAAACTCTGTCGTCTGGAATCCGAGGATCTCCGTTGGATCTATCACCACTTCGTCGATGCAGCGTGAGAGTGTATCCGCCACGACGTTATCGACTCCTTTCCGGTGTTCGATCCCAAAGTCAAACCTCTGCAGTCGCAATGACCACCTCGCAAGACGTCCGTTTAGATCCTTCAATGACATGAGCCATTTCAGGCTGGCGTGATCCGTAATAACCGTGAAGGGCATCAATTCAACGTACGGTCTGAATTTCTCAATGGCCAACACCGCAGCTAAACACTCTTTTTCCGTTACAGAATAATTTAGCTGATGCTTGTTTAACTTGGCGGAGAAGAATGCCACCGGACGCTCGGCTCCTTCGACGTCCAACTGAAACAACACCGCTCCCACTCCGTAATTCGATGCGTCGCACTGTACATAGAAAGGCTTCTTGAAATCAGCATGACTTAATACCGGAGCCGAGGTGAGTGCCTTCTTCAGGGATCCTATCGCCGTCTCGGCCTCCGTGGACAGGGAAAACTTTCCACGCGGATGCTTCTTCAGTGCGTCTGTTAGCGGCATAGCAATGGAAGCGTAATCCTTGATGAAGCGCCAATACCATCCTGCGGTTCCTAGGAAGCTTCTTAGTTCCTTCACTGAACTCGGATTGGGAATCCTTTGAATGGCCAAAACTCTTTCAGGATCCATCTGCAACGTGCCACCTCCGATGATAAATCCCAGGTATTTCAGTGACCTAAAGCAAAATTTTGATTTTTTTAAGCCTATTGTTAAATTTGCTTTTCGCAAGCAGTGGGCCACCAACCGAAGGTACCGGAGATGCGTCTGGAAATCGGGGGCTATCACAAAGAGATCATCCAGATAGACGAAAACGTTTGATCTCAACTGCGTCGGGATCACTTTGTTCATCACCCGGCATAGCCTTTGTGCAGCATTACACAGACCGAAGGGCATCATCACAAATTGTTACAGCGGACGACCTGGAACGGTGAAAGCGGTACATTTCCTGCTTTCTGGATCCAACTTGATCTGCCAGAACGCGAATTTAAGGTCCACACTTGAAATGTAATGCGTCTGGTCGATCCTGGACAGTATTCCCTCGATGCTAGGAAGAGGGTAAGCGTCTTTGACGGTGAGTTGGTTCAGTTTTCGGGCGTCTAAACAAAATCTGCTTTTGTTAGGTTTCCGCACTACCGTCGTCCTATTGCTCCACGGACTATCGCTAACCTCTATCACTCCTAGTTCCAGCATCTTGTCCACTTCGGTCCAGACCACTTCCTGCATCGCTGGGGATTGAGGGTAGTGTCGATCCTTAAACGGCTCCGCGCCCTCTACCAACTGGATCCGATGCTCCTCTACAGTCGTTGACCCTAATCCGGCATCTTCGTAAGTCAGGAACTCCCCCTTTACCTTCTCCAGTTCTTCAGATTCCTTCTCTTCCAGGTCCCACGCGTCCACATGTACGTTCTCCTGGTGGTCTTCGACATATTGGCTGATCTGTGACATCTGGACTTCGGATATTTTGGCATCGCTTGTCGAACTTGGATACGGACCGAGGACTGTGGGAGCCAACGCGAACGACCTCAAAAAATCGACCCCCAAGTACATGACTTGCTCCAGGTATGGACAGATGTAAAAGAGAATGTCCTTGCTGATTCCTTTGTACTCCACAGGGATTCTAGCCTTGCCGATTATGGTCCTGTCCTCTCCTGCGGCGGTTTTGACGATCGAGACATAGTTGTCCATCTCCACCCCGAGGTCGTCTAGGAGCTCACGACTGCCCTTTCCGAGGACACTTACAGATGCCCCAGTATCCAGGAGTCCGGAAATCTTCCGTCCTAGGATTTGCACCTCGGCAAAAACCCTTGGGTCACGTCCTGCTCCACGCCTGACTGCTTCCGCCACCTCCTTGCGAGTCTGTCTCCTTTGCCGGAAGTGTGCACGGGCCCTCTGGAGTCTACAGCTGACACCTCGCATTCCATTCAGCTGATGTCCGTCAAAGATCCGATTTCGGGCTTGTTTATACCTCCTCATCCTCTCTTCGACCGGTAAGAATTTTAAACTATGTTTTTCTATACTACTTGGGTTAATATGCTTAATTTTTACA